CGTTTTCTGGTTGAGCAGGGTAACACGATTTAGCGTGAAGAAAAAAATAAGTACAAAATAATTTTCCATACATTTATTTGTAAAGTTAACATTACAATTCATGTTTAATATAGTACAATAAAGAAAGGGATAGATTGATTCAACTTAAAACTAGACTCGACAGCAATTAAAAAAATATAACAATTGATAGAATATTTGTTTATTACTTTTTCCTAGAACTAACATTTTAAAATATAAAAATTAAAATAAAAGCAAATTTTTTAGCATATCATGAAAAGATGATGCATAATATAAACACTTAAATAAAATTTACAAAAGGGTTTCTAATTATTCGCTTTGAAACTGCTGTTTTAGTTCAGCAGTTGTTCAAATAACATTTGATATATTTAAGATATATTTAAAATTTAGGTAAATTCCATGGAAAATGTATTAATATCTCTGGAAATGACGATTTTAATTAACTTTACATATATTTTTTATTTATTAAATTTTTCTAAGTTCTATTTTTATATTTATAAATGGAAACTGTCGAGAAAAAAATAGATTTGTCAGATCTTTTGTGCCATTTGAATCACCTTCTGTTCTTTGAAGCTGTAAATGTAAATGTTTCTTGATCCCATTTGAGCGAAATGGGAAAAAATGCGTTCTATTTTTATTCAAATTAATTGAAAAAAATTCATTTGCATTTCTATTCCTGAAGGCTATTCCAATTTAAATTTCAATATCTCCATTCAGTTTCACGGATAATAAATCACGTAATCATTTACAAATAAATAAATCTATGTTATCTTCATTACCTGTCTATCACAATTCCCTTTTAGTTTCTACGACTGAACGTAGTTCTTGTTTTGAATTATAAAAGATTATAAGATATTTCTCCTACTTTATTAGCGTGCCTTCGTGGTGTAGTGGTTCTGCACGCTGGGCCGGTATTCCAGGGGTCCGGGGTTCGATTCCCGGCAAAGGCGGTTGCTAATTTTCCCTCTTGCCTTCCTGCAAAAGAATCCTAATGTCTCTACAATGGCGCCCGAACTAAAAGGGTATTGGATGAGGATTCTCCATACCCAGAATTTGGCGATTGGTTCCTCTAAAAACCCCATTCGCCCTTTAAAAAGGGTAGTATAAGGTATTTCTCCTACTTTCCTAGCGTGCCTTCGTGGTGTAGTGATTCTTCACGCTGGGCTGGTATTCCAGAGGTCCGCGGTTCGATTCCCGGTGAAGGCGGTTGCTAATTTTTCATCTTGCCTGCTTCCAAAAGAATCCTAATGTCTCTACAAGATTAATCAGCCAACAAAAGTCTTTACGGGTAAAATTCTATACATTATTTTCCAACTAATCATGTCCATTTATTCCAACAATCCGCTGTTACAAATATTACTTACATGGAAAATTTCTAATATTTATTATTAGACTTCTGAAATTGTCACAAATTGATTATTTAAAATATTTTTTAATTCTCCAATTAAAAATTACTCTTTCTATTGAAAAGCAATTAAGGCATGAAAATTTCGGATGCCTTGAGTTCGAATTCCGTCAACGGCGCAGCGATTTATCCTGTTCCCTGCTTCGAAATTCCCGTAATGACTCTAAAATGCAAGGAATCACAAGTTTGAAGAGTTTGCCTAAATAAAAATTGGTCTGAATTTCCTTGGAAGTACAAGCTTTCATCTGCATTTATGCTTGAATCGCAGCGCGCCGATCATGGTTGAAATGCTTTCCGGAAGGTTATTTAATTGGCATTTGCTCAGCATCATCTGCAAAATGACCTGAAAGCTGTCTATGGAGTTCAATTATAAAATTAAGCAAAGAGTGTGATTCATACCTAGCATTTCCGAAGCGAAGTAATAGAATTTAAAATAAATGTTGCCAAGCTCTTTGGAAATCTAGAAGAGCGCAAAGCACAAAACTAGCCGTTTCCTCGATGCGAAGAAAAATGTGTATTTAATGCGAAATTCAGACATACTGCTCTAATGTATTGAGACAAATAAGGAATGATATTTATCTAAAAAATTCTACTTTGTGATCAGTTAGAAGCTCAGTGCACTACCACAGAACACTGATAAACATTACGTTTAAAATGAGAGAGAAAATACATTTTGTTTCAGGGAAAATCTTTTACATATCTCCTTGTCAAAAGGAAAAATAAAATAAATCTAGGATACAAACGTGGAAAGATATAAAAATCTCTTCTCGTCAGCTTATATGACACTTTTCTTTTTAATATCTCAATGCTAAAATTAAAATAAGGAGTAGCAATTTTCTGTTTAGGATATAAACAGACTGAATCAAAGACCGTAAGTCATATAATAATGTAATAAGATAATATATTAACAATAAAATCAAATCAAAATTCATAATGTGGTAATTACAAAGAAACGTCAAAAACATTCATTTCTAGGGAAAAAGGTTTATGTTGTTGCCTCAATGGTTTGGTTTATTAGATTACGGCAAAGCACTCGAGGGCTATTTGCCTTAAGGGAGAGATGCCTTCGTGGAGGAATTTTTAAGAAAACTGGCTCGTATACACGCTACACATGGGGAAAACCATGAAAACACCGATGCAGCCAGCCCGTTCGCGGGATTCGAGCCTCGGACCGAACTACCAGTGTTCAGCGACGTTACCGCTCGGCCGCTGGTGGGCCTGTTGTCTGAATGAATTATCAACATAAATCGGACGGATTTGAACAAGTTTGAATACGGTGGGAACTGATGTCAGAACTTTCCTTCTTAAAAAATCAAAATTAGATGTCGGAAAATACGAATTCTGCTGATGCTATTTCCAGTAATTATATATACACATATATGTATAAACTTCTGAAACTGCTTCCAGCAATTATATGCATTATCGTTTTGAACGTTTAATGATAATACCTCCAAGATGTTAGAACAAAATCTCAAATTTTCAGGTAATAATTTTTTATCATAATTATTTTATTACTTTCTTTTTAATACTTCCAAAAGAAGTATTTTCTCAGTTAATTGTTCGTATTGACAAGAAAAATAATAAGGTAAATACGTGATCAATTTCGTCCAGTTTATATAAATTAGCCCTCAACGTTAAACTGATTTTAGAAGTCGTCGCCATATCAAAGCCCATTATAAGGCATCGCTAATCTTAGTTTCATGTATTAATTAATTACATGTGGCGAATTTCGAAATCAAAGCTTCAAACGAATTGAAGATTTAATTTCTAGAGCATGTATTTTATTCAAGAGAAAGGAACAATTATTATTTTTTGGAAAATTTTGTATATTTGTATTGGAAAATTTTTCCAAGTATATTTTCAATGTATTTAAATTGATGCCAAGGAAAAAATAGAACTGCAATGCACCGTTCTTAAATTGACAGTTCTTTGATGCAGAATATATAATACTACATCGAATTTCCATCAATACTACAGTTGTTCATATAAAGCATTGAATTAATGCAGAATTTGACAGAAGTTCTTTAAAGAAATAAAAATATATTCTTCAGACATCTTACTGTTATATTTCAGAAAATACTGTTTGAGGTAAAAAAATGGAAATCGGAAAAGGAATTTGCATTTGCAAATTTTTCTGATTTATAAACCTATTAACGTTTCGTTCAGTTTATTAAAATCTCTTTTCTATAGAACTAAATTTGTAATATTAAAAATGATTCATAAAAATTTTTAATTACCTTAATGAACAAAAAATGTGGTTTTGTTCACGGACAGAAGTGTTGGTAAACAATTGTTTATCTTTTATTGTTTTGTCATTAGATTTATTTTCTGTGCCACATCGCTAACGAATTATAATTTTCAGATTTTATTTTAAAAGAGAAATAGGAAAAGAATTTCTTTTAGTTTAATACACATACAAACATGATTGTTTTTAAAAATAATTTAGTAACTATTTAAGAAGAATTCTTTTACTGTAACCTAATTGAACTGAAAGTAATGGTGTAGTAATGGTCAGCTTATGTAACTAGTAATTAGAATTGCTAAAAAATTTTAATATTTCTTCTCATAAGTGTCTTACTGACTTTAAAAATTAATATTCTTTCAGATGTTCCAGGAAAAAATAGTTCCTTCTTAAGTAAATTTATTACTGAAAAGCAATTATAAAATCACGTATGTAAAATAATGCAATGAATCACATTATCTTAGTGGTAATGTTTTATTTATCCGATTCAGAAAATTATTTTGTTTTGTAAAATAACCTACATTTAAGATTGGCCATAGGCAATCTACACGACAAATCACTTTTCTAACTTAAAAAATCAATGAGGATGCCATTATCCATTTGAAGATTCCGCTTTATTATATTGTGATAGACATGCAGAAAAGCCATGAAAATTTACGAGATTTCGTCGCTTACCACCATATATTCCAACTAAAAAACAACTGAAAATATACGCATTAGCTTTTAAAATAACGCAACATTTTCATTGTTGAATGCATTTTCTCTAAAACAGGTGCAAAATAATTTTTGCAATTTTTAATAAAATACATACTTTTTTAACCTCTATATTATTACTGTGGGAATACGCCAGTGGCATTCAGAAGTCGTCAAAGCAGTGAGAATAATTTCAGTTCAATTTTATGTTCTTCTAAACCCAACTTAAAATGGCAGAAATACCCAAAACTGAAATTTATTTACCTATCACTCTCATAATGAGCAACATTATCATCAGCTCTATTCAAAATAAGACACTAGTTTACTTAAGAAATGATCTGTTAGACGATTGATTGTACCATCCAGTATTCACTAAAAGTACATAGATTAATATTTAAAAATAGTAAAATTACTTCATGGTCTCGATGGGCCATAGGTTGAACAAATTCAGAATATTGCTGAAGTGCAATGTCGTTATTTTGTCCTTTTACCCAACTTAAAATAATCCCTTAGGAATTGATCAAAAGGTACATGCATTATGTAGAAGTAGTGCTCCCAAAAGCTAGATTCAATTTAAAATTTCAGCTGAAGTAGAACGGTAGTTTACTACCACATAGAAAAGTATAACATAAAATGACTCACCGGCTTTGACGTGAACTTCTCGGCTAATGATGCTACCAACTATATTCGTGGCCACACATCTGTATATGGCATCATGAACACCTTGCCTGAAATCCTCGGCTGAAAAGGGTGGAAATACGAGAGATCCATCAGGGCGGGTATGTCTAATTCCTGTTACATCATGGAGTATATTACCGTCCTGCTGAGTCCATGAAATCATAGGTGCAGGATGTCCTTGAGCCGAACATGGAACGATTGTTCCGGTGTCATTCTGAAATTCGACTTTGCTGGGTGGCTCTGTGAAGAAGCTCGGCCCACGTTGACCTTCATGAGCTGTCGGCAACCCTAAATATTAAAGTATCTTATGAATATTAACGTATTAAAAAATGCTCATCAAAAGAATCAGGACTCTATGTAAAAACTTCATTCAATAATATATTAAAGGACAAATATGTTCTGAAATCTAATTGAATTATATATCTCTTATGTGCATCGATCGAATAAGAATTTTGTACAATTGTTTAAAGGAACGTTCTTAACACTTGGAATGCATGAAAAGTTGTTACTGATTATACTCCAGCAGATTTATAGTTGCAAATTATTTTGCATTATCTTCTATTCTTTAGGAATTTGTTTGCATTTAAAATTATTTATGAAATATTTGTCGTTTCTGATACCATTACGTACTTTTCCCGTTTCTGATTGGCGTTTCGATAAATTGTTATTTATACTTAGTGTAAACCTCCTTTACTTAGACATAAGAATACGGAGTTCGAATGTTTAAATTTCTTTTTACGTCAGGCAAGAAAGCTTTAATCGTGAGAGAGAAGAAACAGAATATTTAAATAATAATAAAATCACTGAAATGGATATGAAGCACAGTTTTGTGAATAAAATGCATTTATTGAATTGAAAATAGCTACATCAAAGTGAATAAAAATGATAACTTTCAATTACTTATGTATCAACTTGGAGCAAAATAAATGACAATCGTGAATACTGGCAGTTTGATTGAGCTGGATTATGGAAAAGCATGCAAGGGCTATGTGCCTACAGAAAGAGTCTCCGTCGTCGACGAGAAGAAAGAGAAACAAGCTCTATTTATTCACACATCATGAAATGCTATTAAAACTCTCAAGCACCCAAACCATTCGGAAGAATTCGCGTCTTGATCGAAATCCACGGTACTGATGAGATAGGCTACTGATGAGATAGACGATTGAGCGAATTAAGTGTCATACCTTTCCTTCTATGTAGCATAGATAACGAACCAATTTCCCTCAGAAAGATGTACACAAAATCATCCATCATTAAACAAAACTTTCGAGTGCTTTTTCATGATAAACAGTGTTAGCTTAATTTTTTCACCTGAAATTAAGTAGATGATTTTAACTCTTTTAATTCAACAACTACTTTACCAACAATACTAAAATATTTTCATTTGTAAGGAAGCAATATGAGAAGAAAAAAGATTTCGATACTTAAAATTTTTAAAACCTTAAGCAGGTAGTAAAGATCTTAGTTAACGCTTACCTCCGCTGACTGACACTGAAAAGACGAAATATTCACAGTTTTGATAGACTTTCAAAAGTCCGAAGGAACTAGGGTAATAGTTAAAACATCCTAAGGATACTTTTATGATTATTTTTCTGAAATGCGTTCAAACCTCATTATAGTATGATACTGCATTTCGAAGTGATGAAGTGTGAAAATAGGCTGTTCTAATTGCTGAATTCTTCAGCTCAAAACTACAATGGCAGATAACTCTCATTATACGTATTGGTTGCGAATTGTAGATGGAAAACAAACTTATTCAAAACAGACACATTCTACTTACTACAATCTTATAAGCATTATTTTGTACAGACATTAGGCAATTTTGAAGCATTAAAGATGAAAAGTAAGCAACGTCCTCGCCGGAAGTCGAGCCACGGACCTTTAGAATACGCACCCAGCGTGCAGACCACTACACTGCGAAGGCATGCTAAGAAAGCAGAAGAAATACCTTAAAAGTTTCTTTGCGAAACACATTTTTAAAATAAAGAAACACGGTTCAGACACTTCGAATCTATGTTACAATATTAACACAATGTCTCAGAAAGAGAACTCGAATACTTCTGACTTATAATGATTGGAATATTAAATTTCAAATCACTAAATTCGGTATAATTTTGAAATGCTTTCACAATCTATGGAATGTTAACAGATTTTCACTTCTCATAATAATCTCCATTATAAACGTAATAAAAGAGAATATGCGATTACATAAACTGAATAACTAATTATAATTGGCAAAATTAGTATTCACTAGACGAAGCGTAAGGTTAAGGAGAAACAAATTAGAAGATGAATTACAGAAACGAATCAGTATAACTTATAACCGTTCTTCATTAATAAGTCTCCTTAGTTTTCCTACTCATTTACCTCAGAAAGGAAGGAAAAGTGTTAAATTCCATTTCTGCTGCAACGGAAGAGAAAAATGTTCAGATGAAGTGCTAATAGACTACAGGTAATTACAAAATATTTACTGCCCTTTTGAGCTCTATATTTTCCTTTACATATAAAATATTTCTCCCGTCTTCTTAGCTTGCCTTCGTGGCGTAGTGGTCAGCACACTCAGAGCGTATTCGAGAGGTCTGACATTCGAGTCCCGGCGAGGGTATTGCTCATTTTTCATGTCTCCTGCTTCGAAATAACCTAATGTCTCTACATATTAAAGCAAGAAAAGTTATTTATTATATCTGTTTGATGTTTATCTTTATTGTTTATTATTCATTTATACTCACAATTGTTTGCCACCTAGTGCTACGTCATATCACCAAGCTAAGCAAAAATGGCGTCCCTTCACTGTTACGTATTTCGCGCTGTCAAAGTTTGTCCCTCAGAATCTTTCTTTGCCAATGAACGTAATTATTTGCGATCAATTATCAGATTAATTGCCCTCATAAAAGACATTCTGCTGTTAGAAACAGCATTAAACATTACCACGCTTCTGTGACATCCTTCTTAGAGTAACAAAATTGCAGATTTTAAAGAAGTTCAATTTTGAAGTCATTGTCTCGCCTATTAATAAAATATATGGTTCGATTCTTAAGGATTCCATTTCTGATTCTAACCCTTGAGCGAATTATAGCATATCTTATCAATGTGGTTTGAGATCTATCGGCCAAACAAAAAGACTGTTAAAGTTTTGCATCAAGGAACACGAATCATATGCCCGAAAAGGCGAAATTAAAAAGTCTCACACACCTAATCATAGTTGGAAATTTAAACCAGAATTTTGACTTTGGTCTGTAAAATTTATCCAAAAAGCTTCTTCCGTTAGTTAATTGGGTTTTCTTAAAGCTTTTCACATCCAATAAGATTTTTTTTTTTATTTATTGAATTTAATTAAAAATCCAGACCTTCCTGTTACTTTTAAAATTAAATTAATTTATTAATTTTCGTTTCTATTTTCCGACAGATTTTTTTTATTTGCAAAAAATTATCATTAACTTCACTTTATTGGGTTTAAATATAGCCTTGACTTTCCTTTCGTTGCGGATTTCTAACCGATAGAGTTCTGACTAAAAATTGTGTCAAATACAAGTTTGTTTTCGTTGGCCTAATTTTGTATTCATCATATAGTTTAATGCTAACAAGTAATTAAATAATTCCCTTTACAAAATAATTCTATAATTTTATAATACAAATACTAAAAACGTGAGGTGCCCTTGATAAATTTACGAACATAATAATTTGTATTTTTCCATTTCAAAAATCCCGATATGCTTAGTTTGTTCGTTAAAGAAAAGTATGTGCGAAAAATAATTTCAACACTAAATTTTAAAAATCTAAATCTAACTTAAAATTTCATTTCATCTAGCTGCATTATCTTTCACATTGAATGTGAGCAAAATTACAGTTCTAGAGTGTATCACGGAGGAGTTTCAAAATTGGTGGTAAAGCTTTAAACCGTAGTGATACAGAAAATGATAGAAGATTTGAGTACTAAGTTTAATAACTTTACAAGTAACTTTTTGCAACAAGGAAGATATAAATAAATGAAATCAATTTTGGAGACATCTATACCGAAGCAAGAAAAATTAACTTCAGATGTTAAAATTTTAAAATAATAAACGTATAACAGTAAAACAATAACGAGATCTTTTCGGAAATTCACCAAAGCATCAGAAACCATGTTAAAAATTCTATATAAACTTCATTTAAAAGATCTTTTCCCGCTCTATCGAATGCACGAAATACGAAATAGCACATTTCTGAGATTTTTAGTTTGTTCGTCAAACGAAGCAATGAAGGAAAAGTGGTTCATATATTAAATTAAAAGTAATTTTAATGGAAATTTGAAAAAACAAAACGCCTCAATGCATTGTATTATCAGATCCAGACAGTGTGTGTACAAATTCTGAAGATAACGTAACGAAAATAAGTTAAAAATAGGTGACACAATTTTGAACATAGTAACAAATATTATGAGCTAAATAAATATCATAAAATGAGTCAAAAATTAATTTAAGAATGATGTTTTCTCACAAAGACATATATATATATATATATATAGTTTATATTCCTACCAAAATGTCTCGTTGAACTATTTGAAACTCTTGAATCACAAAGATGCTAATTTGTTTCTTAAATGGGTCATTTCTCAGTGTATTTTCTTTCTAGCAATAAATTTGTCAAATTTTCATTTTCGAGGAAACTGTAGAATGAATTCTTCCTGAGATGTTGCTGAACTTTTAGTTCTGAAATACGTGAGATGAATAATGGGAATAAATTATTGTTGACTCGTATAAGTTAAGGCGAGCCTTCCTACAACTATTAATAGCGAAATGCTTTCGACAATGTTCATGACCGATCAAAACTGGTTGGTACGAGAAAGCAAACGATTGAATCTTATTGAACTGAATTCCAATGATACCTTTTATTACAGGATTTTTTTAAAATTTTCTAGGAAATAATGCGCTTAATTGAAATCCGAAATAAATTTATAAATTTAATATAAAACTGAATAATTTGACATCCCTTCATTTTTCTAATTTTTCATGATTAAGTTTGCAATACATTTGATTTCATTTTCTGATTCAACAGCTAATAAGAGAGGTGTTTTTTTCATTTGCTTCTCGTGTGAAGTCTCTTCACATTGGAATATGGAAGAAAACGCAAGTTCCATTTTTTGCTAACAAACAACCTGCTGTTAAAAGGTTACGGGTTTAACAGAGATTTCTCTTATATTATTAATGATAAATATTCCTTTTCAAATTATTGAATTGGAAAGCAGCTTTTTTATCTCTTAATTATTGACAACAGTACTTAAATGAGTATAAGTCCTGTTATCACCTAAT